CCCTCCTCCCTCCTAATCCTGGAAAATGAAAGGAGGTACTAGTAATCCCATCATCCCCATACAGAGCACAAAGATGCCCATGAAGCAGAGGCAGAGGGAGGACAATGACCGGAAGGGGACCCCCAAGGGTCATCCAGACCACCCCCTCTGGCCATGCTGGGAAAGACAAGTAAAAGGGGAGCCTGCTGAGATAACCCAAAAATATTCATAATATAATATAATAGATCACCAGAATCCTATTTGCTAAACATGATATCGGTCCCGAATCCCCAAGATGAATCGAAATATATATATATATATATATATATATATATATATATATATAATAACTGCGGCAAGATTAAGAGCTGCTAAAAATTGGAAAAACAAAGAAGCTCTTTTAATTGAGGGCTGTCTAGATAAAACAAATGAGCTTAGGGAAATGGACTGGCTTTCTGATTTAATCAAAGACAAATTATGGGGAAAAAAGCATGAAACAGAATGGAATAAAATTTGGGGAGCTAATAAAGACATACATACGAAAGTATTGAGGCTCTAAGGATAAGAAAAGAAAAGAGGAAAATGCAATTATAATATAATACACTGTGTAAAATTAATATAACTTTCCTTAGGGAAAGGAAGAGGAAGGAGAACGAAATCTCAAAATAAGATGAAAGTGGACAAATACTGCCATATAGGGAATAAAACTGTAAGAAAAGGGAATTATTGAAAGAAAAAGGAGAAAAAGGAAAACTCAGGAATAAAGGGAAAGATAGTACTATATAGATAGACAATAAGAAGGAACTAGAAGGAAACAGAAAGATTTCTGTATTATTAGGAATTGTCCATTGGAAGAGAGTAGGGAAAATAGATCGGTTGTAAAGAAAACAGAGATGCATATGTTGAAATATACAGATGTATTAAGGAAATAAAACTAGTAAAGATACTTTAAAATAAATAAAATGGGAGCCTGCTGGGCTGAAACCACTGGAGCGAGTAGGAACTTCCTACGGTTTTAATCCCAATAAAATATATTTCCTCCTTTGTGGAAACTGGAGGGTAAATACCCGAAAGGCAGGAGGGCTTACATGCCCAAAGGCACCAAATCCGGTCTGATTTTGGATGCTAAGCAGGGTCAGTCCTGGTTAGGACTTGGATGGGAGACCACCAATGAATACTGGCTGCTGGAGGCTGTATTTCAGAAGGAGGAGCTGGCAAAACCACCTCCCAGGATTCCTTGCCTAAGAAAGCCCCTATTTAAGACAGGCCTAAAGACCCTAAAAGGCACCAGATCCTGTCTGGTCTTGGATGCTAAGCAGGGTCAGTCCTGGATAGGACTTGGATGGGAGACCGCCAAGGACTGCCGGGGGCTGGAGGCTCTCTTTCAGAAGACGGAACTGGCAAAACCACCATTTCTGAGGATTCCTTTCCTTAAGAAAACCCATTAAAATTAATAAGTCAACAGGAAACTGGAAGGCAAGAGCTTATTTATATTATTATTATTATTATTATTATTGGTATTGGTGTTGCTGTTTTTGGTATAACAATCATCTTTATTTATAGGCCACCTTTCCCCCCAAATTGGGAGAGTTAAAGCGGTGTCAAAGCTGCATTGTTCCTGCAGTGCAGATGCAACCTAAAAAAGCTCAACGCTGAAACAGAGGCTGCATCTGCACTGCAGAATTAATGCAGGTTTGACACTGCTTTAGCTGCCACGGCTCAGTGCTGTGGGATTCTGGGATCTGTAGTTTTGTGAGATGTTTCTCCTTCTGTGGCAGAGAGATCTGGTGCCACAGCAAACTACAAATCCCAGGACTCCATTGGACAGAGCCATGACACTTAAAGTGGTGTCAAACTGCATTATTTCAACACTGTGTAGATGCTCCCCGAGAGTCATGTTTATGATGATGATGATGATGGGACCAAGAGAATGTCCACGGCACAAGAAGATGCTGCCAGGGTGACCGGCCGTCCTCCTTTTCCAGGATCTGTCCTACATTTGAGCCTTCTGTCCAGGAGGAATTCCAAAAACGTTCTCCATTTGGAGCATGACTAAGAGGCATGAATTTATAGGAGTGTTTTTAGCTTTCATTTGGGAACACCCCACATTTTTCTTGTGTGTCCTACATTTTGTGGTGCCTCGTCCTCCTTTGCACTCGTGACATCTGGGTCCAAAACACATTGCAGAAATAATCCAGTTTGAGACGGCTTTAACTGCCCTGGCTCAATGCTAGGGAATCCTGGGAACAGTAGTTTTGTGAGACACAGCTTTCTATATTAATTCTTTTTTAAGATATATGACTTATGTATTGTATTGGTTTGTTTTAACATTTAAGCCACTCTGGTTACCATTATAGTAGAAAAGAGGGATACAAATAAAAGTTTTATTTTATTTATTTTATTATGTCAGAGAGAGCTCTGGTGCCACAACAAACTACAAATCCCAGGGCTGCCTAACACTCACCCGGGGCAGTTAACCTGGATTATTTATTCCTGCCGTGTGTTTTGAACCTAAGACACACGCATTTTGCCTTTATAGGAAGGAGTGTTGTTAGCTTTTATTCTCCTTGCGGTGCCTTGTCCTCCTCTCTGGTCATCTGGTCATCTGGTCACTCTGGACGCAGCCTCTGAGACAGTCTGGACTGTGGAGGGCTTCATAGGACCCCCAGAACCAACACTTGGAATGGTGCCCAGAAACAAACTGACCCCTGGCCTGGCCTGAATCCGCTTGCCCACCATGCCCTAAATAATATATGATTATAGTACCACAACCTCCAAAATCCACAAAAGAGGGATACACCTTCCTTGGGCCAAGCAAAATGCACATTATACGAGTTTTGAAAGCTTGCAACATGTATATTGTGCATAAAGGTATCCCTGTTTTGTGGATTTTGGATGTTATTGTACATTGCTATAAGGCTTATGAATGATTAAAGGACAATAACCCCCAAAATCCACAAAACAGGGATACCTTTCTTGCACCAACCAAAATGCACAATATACATGTTGCAAGCTTTGATTTTGGATGTTGATGTACTTTGCGATTGGGGCGACCCGGTTATTCCTTGAATACATTTTACAGATTACTAAAGTACAATAACATCCAGAATCCACAAAACAGGGCTACCTTTTATTGGGCCAACCAAAATGCACAAAAGGCTCTTTGTGGACCGCCCCAGCAAATAAATTAATGAAATTAATGAATAAGTAAGTGAGAGTGTTGGACGATGACTCTGGAGACCAGAGTTCGAATCCTGGCTCAGCCATGGAAACCTACTGGGTGACCCTGGGCAAGTCACACTCTCTCAGCCTCAGAGGAAGGCAATGGTGGCAAACCTCCTCTGAACCAATCTTGCAAAAAATGATAGGGTCATCCTAAATTGGAAACTTGTAAATTGGAGACTTGAAGACACACAACAACAACAACAAATTTGGAAGCTGCAGTGTCAACCGCTCAGCCAGGAGCCTGGACTAGAGTTCCCATTATCCCCCATCAGCAATGCAATATGGAAGGAAGGAGAGCCTGCAGGCTGCATGGAGAGCCACAGAAAAGGGGAAAGGAAGGGCAACCGGTGCCATGCAAATGACCCTCCCCTCGTTAGCTAATTATTTACATCTCCCTTCCTGCAAATACTCAGATGCAAAAGAGAAGCAGCCCTCTGTTCACATGCATGGCGCATTTTCTGGACACACGCACACACACGTCCCATCCTAAACAAGAGGCTCACCAGCTATTATGGTGTTGTAGTGCTTTGAGTGCTGAACTTTGACCCTGGGGACCAGGGTTCGAATCCCTGCTCAGTCATGGAAACCCACCTTGGGCAAGTCACACTCTCTCAGCCTCAGAGGAAAGTAAAGGCAAATCCCCTTCTGAACAAATCTTGCAAGAAACCCTGATTCTAATAGGGTTGCCATAAGTCTCAAGATCCCAAAGCAAGAAAATAAGATGCTCCGTCCGCTTGCTGTGCCCCATATATGTCCCTCTTAGGTCAGGAGTGGGCAAAGGTTTCGAACACAGGACCACAGACGCTCTAAATAGGAAAGCACACTCCTAACCTAGACCGACAAGGAGGGTCCAAAACACACTACACAAATAACCCAGTTTGAGTCCACTTCAACTGCCCTGGCTCAATGGGAACTGTGGTTTTGTAAGACATTTATTTAGCTTTCTCTGTCACAATAAACTACAATTCCCAGGATTCCCTAGCACTGATCCAGGGAAGGCAAAGGGGTCTCAGACTGCATTATTTCTGCAGTGGGCTTTGGACCGAAGATGCCTGCCTAAGGCTAACTAGAAGAGCCCTGGGTTCAAAATGTATTAAACTTAGACTTAAATTGATTTTATTTGTATTTTGGAAATAAATATTTTACCATTGGGAGCAAAACATTGTTGGAAGGCCTGCGAGCGAGGCCTTTTCCGCAGGATTAAGGATGCGTCCGCACTGCAGAATTAATGCAGTTTGACACTGTTTTAACTGCCACAGCCCCATGCTATGGAATCCTGGGATTTGTAGTTTGTGGTGGCACCTGACAGAGAAGGCTAAATATCTCACTGAGCGACTGCGTTTGTGTGTTTGCGTGCACGACTCTTTATTTGCATTGCATTTCAGTATTGCATTTTAGTATTTTACATTATAGATAGGGTTGTAAATGTTTTATTCTGTTTGTAAAGCGTCAAGTTCACAGATGGCGCTATATAAATAAACAACAACGACAGCAGTGAAAATAACGACAATCCCAGAATTCCACGGCGGTTCAAAGCAGCGTCAAAACTGCATTAATTCTGGAGTATCCGGAGCAGCAGAAAACAGGCTCCAAGGTAAATGTTGTTGTTGTTGCTGTTGTTGCTGTTGTTGTTGTTGTTGTGTACCTTCAAGTCATTTCTCATTTATGGCAACCCTAATGCAAAGCTATCATGAGGTTTCTTGGCAAGATTTGCTCAGCGGAGGTTTGAGACCACTGCTTTCCCCTGAGGCTGAGAGAGTGTGACTCCTTGCCCAAGGTCAGCCAGTGGGCTTCTATGGTTGAGCAGGGATTCGAACCCTGGTCTCCAGAGTCACAGTCCGGCGCTCAAACCACTGCATCCCTCTGGCTT